ACCTGCAACAGTGTTTCGGGCCCCAAAGGGTCCGAAGTACCGAAAACTCAATGTAGGGAATCGATCATGATATATGTATATATATATATATATATATATGTATGTATGTATATATATGTATGTATGTATGTATGTATGTATGTATGTATGTATGTATGTATGTGTAGATATATGTGTATATGTGTGTATGTTTGTATGTTAACATGTTCATATGCTGGTGCGTATATGTTTGTATGCATGTATGTATGTATGTATGTATGTATGCATGTTTGTATGTCTGTATATATATATGTATATGTACATATATACATATATACATATATATATATACATGTGTATATATATATATACAAATGTCTATATAGTATTTAAGGTAGCGGCCCTGCCCTTCTCAGCCCTGCCAGACCCGGGTTCGGACCTGCGTCTGTGTAGCCCGAGGCCACGCTAAAGGAGAGGTTCGAGGAGTGGAAGGCGGCCGCCAGTCCCATGTCGTACTTGTCCTGCCAAGGTGGTTTAGGGTTTAGGGTTTAGGGTTTGGGGAGGGCCAAGATGTGCTTTTTGAGCGACATACTTGGAGCACGGGCGCAGCATGCGATTTCGCAGCCAGGTCCCGCATCTGGTCAGCCACTTTTGCCTGAGAGTCACGTGAGTGGTTAAGGGTAGCTCACGACAGGCAATCGATGACAAAGCCTCTACGTAACAAACCTGAAAAGCCAATGTCCGTTGAATCCAAGACTACCTGCAGGGCGGACTTCTGAAACTCTAGAGTCTAGAGTCTAGAATCCGAACTGCACTTAACAGCAGGGCCCAAGCTCAAGTAGGGGCTTTGGGCATTGACCGAGGCACCATGGCCGCCCGAAGGCGATCTTCGAGCTGCGGCTGCGCTGCCGCAAGGGCCAAGACCAGGAAGGGAGCCCAGGAGCCCAAAGCCATGGCTTCCGGCGGCAAAAGCTGTTTAGGAAGTCTTGTGTCGAAGCGATTCGTCGAGGCTCTGAGCCTTTTCCCGCTTTAAGCAAAGCCTTGCGAGGTTCTGGATTTCCCTCGAAGCCTTCAGAGGTTCGAGCAGCTGACCGCCGACCCCGCGCAGGCACAAAGAATTAAGCAGCTCGTCAATGTTCGCGAGGCTTGCAAGATAGCTGCTACCCACAGGCACACCCACCCGAGGCAAGCAATGCCCCTAAAAGTGTGTGCATCCGTGTATCTTCAAGCCAGGGATGCGGCTTTAGTGCAGGAGTCGTTCGACATTACCAGCAGTGTCTCGCAATCTCTTGGGGCCTGTAGCAGGTTCTCGTCCATCGCATTCAGCGTCACCATGGCCCAAGTAATATTCGCGAGGGCCTCCAAGCAGTTTCGTGCCGGGAAGATGCCCCTAGCTACTCCTGATAACATTGACATAGCTCCTTGAATCCAGAAGTTAGGCAGGGAGGGACTTCAACGAAACCTCTAAAACAACATAGATGTGTCAAGGCCAGGAAGGGATCGCCCGGACGCTGGACTGCATAGATATAGTTGCTGCCGCAGAGTGACGTGGTTTAATTGAGTCCCTGTGATGTGGTCCTCTTTGTTTCGCTTGCTTCTGATCTGCAGTTGCGTTGTCAGGCTCTTCTTCAAACGCCGGCTACAGTTCCGGACGGCCTGAGCGGAGGGCTTTGTTCCGCTGGCACTGGCCTCGGTTCACCAAAGCCCCAAAGACCCTGAACCAGCAGAAACACACACAAAGACGAAGACACATATACAACCACACACACACACACAGATCTTGTGGTTCTTCACTGTCGGGAACCGGCCCTGGCGAGCACGGTGTTGGCCTGATGGATGAGGGCCTGGCAAAGAACTCGTCGTGAGCAAAGGTGCTCAAGTTCCGCTGTTTGGTCGCTCCGCGGCAAAGGTTCTTGGGGCCTTCGGGGTTGATCTGTGTAAGCTTCTGAGAACACACAATGGCAAAATTTGCACTGCACGTGCTGAAGCTGATGTTGGCGCATGCTACTGGGTACGGGAAAGACAAGAGTAGCACTCCTCAACATTTAGGCCACGAGTTGAGGAAGCACGTTTTCGCGACGGCCAATTACTACGCACACTCTCCTCAGCCTTGGATCCGAGCATCGAAAGTCTGGCATCCCAGGCCTGCACGACGCCCTTCACCGTCATTGCGGCTTCTTGATCTTCGTTTGTGGTCCAAAGTCGCGCTATTCGGTGAAACCTTGGAAGATCGATGGTTAGGTCTGGCTTGGCCCTGCGTGCCACATGCTGAGCAGGATGCGCTGTGGAAATATTCACGAGGTTCATCTGGGACACATAGGCCTTGCCGATGTGTGATCAAACTCGAAATTAGACTAGAGTGCTTTGAAAACGGTATTCACAGTGAGTCATGAAGTGCCTCGATGGTCGTGGCCAGCTCCATGAGGTTGCCAGACCTTTCGACAAGCTCCATGAGAGCAATGCCTCTTAGGGTAGTACGGAGGCCCGAGCTCTGAAACCGTGATGATTTGGCTGTTGATCCATGGGAACGTATCGCGTTTCGATGCGCCCTGGCAGCGATGCGTCTCCGCCGCCCAGGTCAAGCATAACTTGCGCGAGACCCTGCATATCGGTGTACCCAATGGCCTGGCGAAATCTTTGCCGCGAGTTCTTGTCCCCTTGTTTCTTCTTGGCACCTCAACTGAAAACGAAAGCCGAATAGGCCACAAGTTTCGGGATGCGCTTACAATACGTACATATATTTATATACATACATACATACATACATACATACATACATACGTACATATATACATACATATATATATATATACTGCATGCATATATATATATATACAGTTGCTAATATATATATATATATATATATACATATATATATATATGTGTGTGTGTATATAGATTTATATATATATATATATTATTCGTTTAGACGTTTGTATATTTAACCTGCTTATAAAGCTGTATATCTTGTATATGTATATATTAACATATGTATGCATCTGTATGTGTTACGCATGTTCATATATTGATATATCTATATATGTATATACTTAGGTTTTTATACCTTTCTGCATATATATATATATATAGAAATATTTATTTGGATATTCATATATTTACGTAATGTTCTTTTCATGTCTTTATATATCCCTAGATTCGGTTGTAGACACATATATATATATATATGTGTATTTGTATATATGTGTATGTATACCCACAAATAGTTGTTGTAAACTTTTATATGTATATATATCTGTATATATATATATAGATATAGATTTGTATCTAATCCATATTTATATATTCGTATATTATTATGTAATATGTGTATATCCACTCTTTCCACTCTTTCGGGCCAAGTGTCGTGTTTGACGCAGCCCATTGGCTTGCATGTAATTAAAGGTGAAACAAAAATGCTGGGTTGTCGATATGTCCTGTCCACATGGTGACGAACCCTGCATGCTCCTCAAGCTTCACGCCTGAGAGCTTGGACAAAATGTCCGTATCAGGCCCAGGTGGGCTAGGCACAGTAAGGATGGCACGGACCCCGTTGGACCACAAACGGAGGGCAAGTCGAACAATGTCACCTGCGAGACAGGTCGGGCTGGGGGTACTGCAGGGGCCACCTACGGCAAGCCCCCCGACGTGACGAATGTGCGAAAGGCCTATGGTGCTTAGGCAAAATCCACACTCCTTGTCAACAGGGCCGAGGAAGTCCAGAGTCAATCCTTCTGCTATTCGTCGAAGTGACTCATCATGCGGGAATGTGATGGCTCGCCGCGCATGAATCTCCATGACTCCTTCCACTGCGCATTCTCCGACGATAACAAGCACGTGGTCCGCAGTCCACTCAGCGGGCAATGGCAAACGGACATCGTGTACCTGTAAGGTAATCAGAATGTCCGCATCAATGCGGAGGTAGCCATTGCCATCTTTGCAATGAGTGGAGCCGCTTATCAACCAGTCAGCAAGGCTGTTTGATTGCAGCCACTCTGCGGCTGCTTGTGCTCTCTCGCGTACAGCAGGAGAATAATCGTAGTCCTCCTCGCTTAGTCCGGCCTTCCATACCTCAAGGGTAATGTGTAGCCGCCGGGACGGGAGGCAGACAGAGGCAAACGACAGCCTAAGACGCTCGAAAAAGGCCTGGTCGGAAAGCTGGAGGGCGCACCCGTCAAAGTCCAAGAGCGACAGGCAATCAAGAACTTCTGCAGAGGGGCGTTCGCTCTCATCTTCGACGATGGTCATCGCCCCCTGGCCAGTGGGGCCCGCTGCCTGTAGGGCCGGAGTGCAGAAGAGATGCTCTTTAGGAGCTTTCCGGCTGCCGACGCCGGGTTCAGGAGCAAATCTATCGTGTTGTGCAAGCAGGAACCGGCGGCAGCTGGGGGAATGGCGAACGTGCCGACATAATCGGATATTGGTAGCATAATGCTTCAGGCAGCATGGGCATTGGGTGCCTACGACAAGAGACCTCACCTCGTCCACTCGTCCATGGCATTTGAATGCATGTACCGACCATGCACGTAGGTCCCGGAAAGAGACTCGGCATTGTGCGCACACCTCCCTGCGCTCGGCAGCAGAGTCAGGACGGCATGGGAGACAGGCTCCCAACAATCGCAGCTGTCTGCCGAGAAGCACAAAGTGACGTTCATGGGCAGCGTTGCATCGCTCTGCCCGTGTGGCATTTGCTATCGCACGTCGGACTCGCGACTTCCATCTGCCTGGGGAGGAACGGCATTCAAGGACCCATTCCCCCCATGAGGAACACCAGTCTAAGGAGCTGGAGTGCTTGACGGTGTGCTTCCACATCCACTGGACTGAAGATCTGACCGAGGACAACCATTCCTTCTCCCAGTGGGCCAGTGCCCAGACTTCGGGCACATCAAGTCGAACACATGAAAGGAGATACCGCAATCTGTTCGCATGCAGGTACGTCTCAGCTCTCGAGATACCAGCGAGCGCGATTGAGTGGGCAGTACCCAGGTGCCAGGCCTCTTCGCACGTATAACTTGGGGCAAGCATCTGGCATGCCATTTGTCTTAGTACAGCGTCAAGCCTGCTGAGGTGGGTTTGACACACCCCAGTCCAAGTCCCAGCACCGTGGAACATGACGGTAGCAATGAGGCTTTCAAAGAGCATTGCTTTGTCAGCAGTGGACACAAGAGGGGATTGGAAAACCTTTTTTCGCCGCCGGTTGAATGCATCCCAGGCTTGGGAGCAGCGGAAATTTATCTCATGCTTGAGACCCCCATTGTGTTGTAGGAAGCCCCCAAGGTGGCGGTATACAGGGACTACCCTGAGCCTAGCTCCGTTCCACAATCGACTTGATAGTGGGAGCTCACCCGAGAGATCCCCAAAGATATGCCTACGCACAGCTCTAGCCCCTTGCCTGTGAAGTTGAACAATGGCTTCCGTCTTGCCTTTCGACAAATTCGGCACCAGGGCACGTTGCAGGCAGGCATCTATCAAGGACGATGCACCAAAGTCCAATGCCTTTACCAAGGAGCTGGCATCGGGGCTCATAAGGAACATCGAGAGGTCATCCATCCAGGTCGCGTCAGAAAGACCGATAGAGCCGCTCGGCTCCCGGTCCAAAGGTTGCAAGCGGCCATGCATTGCATTATCCCAAGGGATATGCGCGAGAAGATCCGCTTGGGCTAGCGCCTGTCTGACTTGCTGGAGCACTTTTGCAAATAAAAACGAGAAGACTAGGTCCGATAAGGAATCTCCGGGGCGAGATCCGGTGCGTGTGACGACGATGTCAGGTTCGTCAGGGAGCCTGAACCAAGTGTCCTGTAGTGATTCGGACACTGCACCTTCAGCCCAGGCACTCGAGCCAGCCTCCCGGAGCAAGGAAGGCCCACCGATGAAGTCTCGCAGTTCATGCATGGTGTTGTCGGGGAGCTGCACTGCGGCACAAATGCGAGCTACTTCCGTATCAGTAGGATGGTCACCTGTGATGAGGGGGCGAATGATCCTATAAAAGGCTTCCTGTAAGTCCAGAAAAAGCAGGGCGTGTGATTGCTTTCTGGTTTGGCAACCTGATTGAAAAAGTCTCGCAGCGTGTGCGGGGATTGTGACCGGATACTGTGGCAATCCTCCAACCTGTAATGGCACTGCACTGTCAGCAAGAGGCGCCGTGCAACGGTTACGGACAGTTTTGTGCATGGCTTTCCCAAGCACGGACGAGAGGATGGGTTCGCACAGGCGGAATGCGGATTTGAGGAGAAGCTGGTAGACTGCCTTTGACAGGTACTGAGCTCCATAGTGTAGCACTTCACCCGGAATCCCGTCTAGTCCGTACGCTCTGTCGGTACTAGCATCCCGAAGGGCAGCCTCAAGCTCAGCTAAGCTGGGCACCTCCGCAGGGGTGATCGCATATCCCGACAAGTCCTTTGCCGCTTGTCGTTGGTAGCATGCATGGACAAACGCGGTGGCGTCCTGGACGTGACCGTCCTCGATGGATGAGAAGTGCGCTATCCACCGGTCTTTCGCCTCCTGGTGTGTCGTTGCCAACTGCCCGGGCATCACCTCAACCGCGGGCAGTGGGGTGGAACCACGCTGCTTCCTCTTGGGGCCTCCTGTAAGAACCTTCAACCTCTGGACGGTATCCTTGGTGGAATCGGACGTGGCTCTCACGGCTGTGTCATGCAGGAAAGCCTTGATGTCCCGGCGAATGTGCGTGCGAAGCTGAGCACTGGTCGCTCGGAGGGCAGAAATGTGTCCCGGCAGATCACGTAAGCAACGGAGCCATCGCCCCCAGAACATCGGACAGGGTTCCCAAATCCTGCACTGGTATTTCCATGCCCTCCAAGAGAAGGCAAGGGAAAGACTATGACCAAACCTAGTAGCGGAGTGAATTCTTTTGCGCAGCCACGCCCGCTGATTGCGGAGCTGCCACGTGTCGGGCTGTAGGTACGTTTTATGCTGCTTGGCGCGCGGTGCCGGAAATGCTGCTGGTAGCAAGCTACGGAAGTGCTCTTCGATCTTGGCGGCATGGCGATGGATGTCTAGCTCCCAAGGTTGCTGTGGCAAGGAGAGACATATCTGTCGCAGTTTCTCTCTCCCTTCACGGGTGCCAATCGCATGGGTATCAATACGAGGCTTCCCGCCCTTCGGCGGAGCGGTAAGGGCAACACTGGAATGCACACCAACGCACAGCGCATAGTGATCAACTCTGGCCTGTCCCCATTCCAGCTCGTGTAGGACACGGCTGGCGCCCTTGGCGACCTGCCAAGTGGCAGGTACTGAAACGTAGTCAAGTCTCGAAGTAGTAGAGCCATTCGGGGACTGCCACGTGTCAGAAGGGCCCGGGTGACAGCAAGAAAACGTGTTCGGTATCCATTGGTCGAACTCGTCAAGGATTGTCCAGAACGCAGAGGGCGGGGGAGTCGGTGTGGGCCATGTGAGGTCCCCAACCCTATCACCGTGGCCCCTGTGGAGATGAAGGTTGAAGTCGCCGAGGAGCACAACTTGTGCATCCTGTCTCAGCCTTCCCAACAGAAGCCTCAGCCTTTGCCACCACTGCGTTCGTTCGCCGGAGGCACTGGTCGGTGCATGAACGGCAACGAACAATATGCGTATTGACGCCCTTGAGAAACGGACGGCCAGGATACGGGGGTCCCAATGGACAGCGATGAAATCCCCTATCTGGAATTTGACTTCAATGGAGGGATGG